GCAAGCAAAAAAATTCTCCTGAAATAGCCATACCTTTGTTACAGGAATAGAGTACTTCCCAGATAGTAAACCATGTCCAAGCTTTGTTCTGCCACCAACAACAAGGATTAGGAAATGAATATGCAAACTGTGATACAATTGTCCCTCATGGAAATCAGATTTTAAAAATCTAATTCCGCAACATATTAAAGCCGAGCAGAGAAAAAACAGAAACTTGAGCATGTATCATGAAGATACAGAGCATTCACAAATATAATGCTAAACCCTTTAATCTTTACAATGTCAAAAGTTCAAGCACTAGATATCAGAAAGTCCAGAGTATAAAACATAGTAACAATTGTTCTGACAGAAACTCACAATTGCATATTGAGGTCCAAAGTTGGATCAGCAGGAGCCATCTCAAAAGCCATCTTTAAGCTCTGATGTGAAAAGTATCTGCAACAATATCATAACCAGAAGTTAGTACAGTAGATTCTAAGAGAAAAAGGTTTGTTTCGTTTTTAGTTATACAAGTAAAAAAGGAAACATGAGCAATGGCATCTACTTGATTTATACTTACCTTGAAATAAATGAATGGGTCGAGAAAACAATCTGCATTGTGGCTGCCAAGTAGCAACTAGCAAAAGAAATGAACCGGCATAAGACGTCAGCAAGGAAACCAAAATCCTTAACTATTTTTCTATTACAAAGAGTACCTGTTCCCAAGATTGACAAGTCCGGTATATCCAGGTCCAAACACTGGTACCAATTCTTTTCCACTCTCTTGTATACGGTTCCAATCAAAATTCGTATTCTGATCAAGTTCTCTTTCGGCAGTTGTCATTTCAGTCTGTCATATAAACATCCCAAGAAACTTAAGATTATTCAAATGAATGATGTTTAATCAAAATGGAATCTTTAAACAGTGAAGATCAGGCAACTTAAACTGGCAAACAAGGACAGGAGAACTACAAGAGTGAGCTTTGGAAAAAAAAGCAGTACTTGTTGCAAGGGAAGATGAGGACAAGAATACCCCAAAAAAAAAGCTTAATTTTTCTAAATGTTTAGGTGTTCATGACGCAGCAAATACATGTTATTAGACTGAACGTGTGTATGGGAAATATTGTTTCAAAGCAACCTGAAATGACATTCTCCAGGAGCACAGCTACATCTTACCACTTGCAGTTATAAAAAAGCACACAATAACACTGATGTGAGTCTACTTGCTCTTAGTAAAGGAAACATTTAGCCTCATACATATTTCACATATGTACAGCATGTTGAAGAAAACACGGTTGTTTCCGTGGCAATTGATAGTGAAGAGAAAAATGAACTCAAGACAGAAGCTATCTGGAACAACCAGCACTTCACCAAAGCGACCTAGGAAGGATATCTATACAAACCATAGAACTACAAGAATACCTCAGCTTGAGACTCTGATTGAGTATTACGAAATCATTACCACAGACAAACAACAATATAAAGTTTCAGACAAGATGCAGTCTTCACCATTATAGGTTAACAGAACCATCCATTACTAACCTTCTGCATCGACGAGAAGTCAATTCCAAAATGAGCCAGATGCTCAGCCAGGAGCGGGTCCAAAACACTATCATCTTCCGGATAGGAATAAACATCTGAGCTGCCAAAATATTTGAAACTGTAAGTGCTGAAGAAATCGAAACCCTCCAACACATATATAAGCATAAAAACGAAGTGATGCAAGTGATGCAGGAAGTCCCCCCCTGTCCAGCCCAAAGAGAGAACTATCAACTGCCATTATCCATACACAAAAGTGAAGTCCAGTGACTAATCTGGTTCCTATGAACAAGGCAAACATCTTCATTTTGGTAAGGTACAGGGTAGGTAATTTACAGCTTCAATGCTCTGAAAGTTCCAGCCACATACAATTAATTATAACATTACTCCAAAAGGTATCACCCACACGTTGACTTTGCCTTAAGGGCAGACCGGCAGAGATCGGCATTTTTGAACATTCAAGTAATACGGCAGTAGAGTACCTAAATATTTTTTCAAACAAGCCTATTCCAATCCCCAAATATAACAAAAGACATTCCTAACAGAGTCGACTAAAACCAGATTTAGGAAACAAGACAACTTTACCTGCTCCTTCTAAGTCAGCTGTGATTGTTCCAAGCTTTACAGCAAGAGGGTAGGCTGTCTCCTTGTAGTGCTCAACCGCATGGTTGTTTCCACCAGTTCCATCCCAGTTTTTTCTTCCACATAGAATCATTCCATCGGTCAGATTAAGCCATAGATTCTCCCTCTTATCACACTTAGCACACTTCCAACCAGAGGGAGGAATGACAATGCCACTCTTGATCTGCTGCAGTGTCAATGCATGTTCACTAATTTGCTTTTTCTCAGCTGTCCAAGCTGCAACTTGCTCTTTCCGCTCAGCACCTACGGCACTCAGGACAGTATCAACAGCAATCCTCACCTGCAATACAAAATACAAAAAGCTAAGGACATGCATTGTGTTTTTGTAAAACCTTCTTATCTGGTAACACAACTAAAATCACAACATAAACACCTTCTCTGGTAGTTCAACAGAAGGAAAGGGGAGTGAAACAAAATCTGGAAGAATGACTATGCTATAGGATTCCTCGTACTCAGGCTCATTGTTGTCAAAGCCACCATCAACTCCTGCAAATTAGAAACAAAACAAAAAATCGCTAAAATATCACAATATATATAAATATCCGAGATTATACCGCATTGAAGTCATTGTAATACCTATAGCGAGGAGAGTCGGTTTCTTCAAAGGCCGATCATAGTCCTCAGGACCAGACTTCTTAGTCTCCTTAATGTGCAAATACACAGGATTTCCAGTCTTTTCATAATTCCAAACAACATAATCCTTCCCAAAAGCAAGAAAACTGTTCATGTCTACGAACAATCCACCTTCGGATCTCTGCAAAATCATCAAACCCAGCGATGAAACATCCGACGCAAGAAATTAAACAGTCGCCGCGAGTTGGAAAGAGTAGTCCGGTGATTCGAACAAGAAAAACGAAGTGAGAGGGTTATCGAGAGAGGTTTACCGAAGTGTCGAAGGAGAGGCAACACTCATGCTTGTAGATGCGATGGGTAGGTTCGGGGATCTGAACCCTAGACAGGTTGGATCGGAGGAGCTCCATAGGGGTTTTTGGAAATCGGCGAAACTCTCGACGGAGAGAAAGAGAGAGCGAATTGTGTGAAATCGTACGTTTGGGATGAGAACGTCGTCGTCCTGCTAAATTCCTTTATTCTTGATTCTTGGGGTTTCCTTCCATATTAGAAAAATTGCAATAATCAATCAATACTAAAATAATATAACACACACAAAAAGAGCCTCTCCATGTATCGACACGTCACCTTTTTCTACAAAAAAAAAAAAAAATAACCAATGAAAACATTGTATTTAATACATACAGTAGGTTCACACATCATCGGTCTCCTTTAATCAAACGCGTTCATCTACAGTATATATTATTATCACATCCTCCTTGCCCAACATCATCGATCTCCATCTTCTAAATCCGGCAATCAATCCGTCTAATCATCACATCCTCCATCTTCTTCAATCATGAGGTATGATTTCAGTTTTCATCTATAATTTATCGGCTTGGTCGAATTAGTTTGATTTATGACTTAAGAAAGAAATATGCTTTACAGAGTTCTGGAATTTAGATTTATACTGTATGTTAGAAGATGGAGATTGATGTGTTCTTATATTTCTTAATAAAGTGATTTGTCTTCTTTTTGGTTATTTTGGTCAATGTTTACTGAGAAGGATGATGTATTAATTATATTGGAAACAACTGC